TGATAATTTTGATATCATATTTTTGATTTATTTCCATCATTTTTGTTATATGTAAACAGGGACAACTGTCATTGTGTAAATGTCACCCCTCTGCAAAAAGTTCCGATTTTTTTCAAGGAAGATAACTCTTACCCGGATCGAAGTGATTGTAAAATGTAAAATAAATTAATTATAAAGCCATTGTGTATATTTTGTTCAATTTCCCATTCTATATGTATAGATCTTTGTGTCCTGTTGGCTTTTAGCTTGTAGATAATCACTTTTATCCGTTCAAATTCAATAAAAAACACTTTGTGTAACATGTGTTACATATTTTGCGATAAATAAAATATTTGTAGGGTTAATAAGAAATGCTTCTTTTCATTTTATTATTGTTGTTATTGTTCCGAACAATGTCACACCCCAAAAAAACCCGGAAAATATTAAAATTGACGAAAATTCAATTTTTTGGTATTTTTTCCAAAAAAGTCCCCTAACTATCGGAGTGTTAAGATTTTCATAAAATCAACTCTACATTGTTGCATAACCATTATATGAAAGTTTCAACGAATTTCGCTGGTTAATTACGAAAGTGTGGAGCCACCTTAAATTGTTAAGCAAAAGATCAAAGTTTCTTAATTTCTACTGAATAAAGTATTGTAAAATTATCATAATTTTATCAAAACTGGTTATAAAGTTCTGCACTTTAACACATTCTTTTAAAAAAGCATGATTATCTCCCTTCCTCTTCTACAGAAATTGACATTACGGTTATTTGTAAGGTCCTTCTAATTCATGTGCATCACGTTTTTAGTTATATGTTGGGATGATTCTAAATAGTGATCGTGGAAGCTTTGTACTTTTGCCCACTCTAAGTCCATACTTTTGGAGCGACTCAACGTTTTAGAGTGACACCCAGTTTTGGAGCTGCTCCCAGAATTTTGGATCCATTAATTACTGAACATTTCCTTTATTCTAAGATCAATTGATTTCATCAGAAAGAACAACCAGAAATATTCTATTTTGACGTGCTTTTTTCTACATATTTTATTTATATTTTTATTTTGAGCATATGACATCTCTTCCAAGAAATTTTTGAAGCTTGGCAAGATTGTAATCCAATGTATTTCCTCATTGTTGCTTCCTTGTTATATTTGTATGATTTTTAAAAAGAAAACAATAAAAACTATCTTAAGAAAATCCGATTTTTTCTTTGGGAGATTATTTAAATTCCCCACCCCCCGTCCAAACAACAACAACAACAACAACATTGTTTGTACAGTCATTATGTGAATTCTAACAGCTGTCTGATGAGACTGATACTTCCAGCGATCTCATAGTTCTGAAAGAGAAGTTGCTTTAAGAGATATTTGGTCAAATCGGTACCCATTTTTGTTAGAAGTGGACCTCAACCTCTTGGGTGGGTGGGTGGGGGGTGTCAGTGTACCCCCGGTCAACCTCACTTTTAAAATTTTGAATCTTACTACTGTGTTTTCAGTCATATTTCATGAAAATCTGTCAAGCAACTTCAAAATTGTTGATGGAAACACTGACAGACAAACGGGCACCACTGTAAGGCATAAGGTTTACTATAGGCTATATATTTTATCGCTAGATTTCTGGTTCCATTAGTCCAAACCTGAATATAATACACATATTTGTATCAATATAACTATATAGGGAAAGTAATATAAAAGAGTTAATTTATAAATATGAAGAAGATATTTTATAACAATTTCATACTTGGTAGATATCTTCACTTCCTGGACATCGGTTCTGGGTATCAGGCCGAGTGGTTCTTTAGCCTAAAAGATTAAATACATTGGTAAAATGGGACTAGTAATTATTTCTTTCACAGTAATATTAACTCTTGTGCTTGCAGACTATTCATGTATATATTTGGAGGCATGTACATATGACAAAATCACCGGTCAAAACTAAATGCCCCCCCCCCCCCCCCATCCTTCCTGGATTATTTCTGGAAGAGTTCTAATGACTAAGAGATGTTTCTGAAAGAAAATGCAGCAAGTTAAGAAATGTTAGAAATTCCTGACAAAACAGTAAATCTACATATACAGTGCACTCTGTCCCGACTGAACTCTCTGTCCAATCAGTTTTTCTGTCTAAACTAGCCAAAGAATTTGGTTGCGACAATGGTAAAACCCAGAACTCTCTGTAAATGGTAAAACCCAGAACTCTCTGTAAATGGTAAAACCAAGAACTCTCTGTAAATGGTAAAACTCTCTGTAACTGGTGAAACCCAGAACTCTCTGTAAATGGTAAAACCCAGAACTCTCTGTAAATGGTAAAACCCAGAACTCTCTGTAAATGGTAAAACCCAGAACTCTCTGTAAATGGTAAAACCCAGAACTCTCTGTAAATGGTAAAACCCAGAACTCTCTGTAAATGGTAAAACCCAGAACTCTCTGTAAATGGTAAAACCCAGAACTCTCTGTAAATGGTAAAACCCAGAACTCTCTGTAAATGGTAAAACCCAGAACTCTCTGTAAATGGTAAAACCCAGTAGACTCTACCATGCATTGATCTGGATGAATCCATTACGGTCTACAGTGGTGAAAGGGTTAAAAAATAATCTCATTACATATTAAGATAAAAATGGTTTATGTATATATAATGTCAGGATAAATAATTTCTGATAAAAGCAATTTCAGCACATATATATACGCAATAATGATAAAAATGATTTTAACATAAATTATATAATAATGATAAAGAAAAATTTAGCATAACAACTGAATAATCTAAAAGCTGTTTCTGTACTATCTCAATCTTATAAGTATTGCTGAAGATTGTTACATAAAATTCTGTTGTCATGGAAACTTGCAGATCTGCTTCGGCTTCAGAAAATTATTCTTAACATGCTATCACTCTGTTTATCAGAGACTGACTCACCTTCTTAGAACTGAAGTATAAAATATTTTGTTCTGTTAGTACAAAGTACCTCCTCTTCCAGTTTTTTCTCTGTAAAAAGAACCACAGGTAAAGTTATGCACAGCAGACACTATTTTGTGGTTAGCTAGAAGACACTATATTTGGCATCCTCGATATCTAGGGGTTACGCTCACGTTCGCTCTCTGTACTCCAGGAACATGTCATAGCAAAATTTGATAGGCGCCAGGTAAAAAAAAACTGACCAATTGCAGGCTAATACCTATCCTTGAAGATAAAAAATGAGCAAAACCCAACTGCAAAACCAGTAAATTTTACCACTATGTGACCGCGAGATTCAACTAAGAGATGTACATGAAAGGATTAAACTAGTCTTCTTGTCTCATCCACAAGGTGGAGCACACTGAGCCTTCAATTTTGCTATAACATATTCCAGGGATGCAGAGAGCGTAAGTGAGAGTAGAATGGAGTATTAAGGATGTCTATTTGGAAGCAAAACATGCAAGACATGATTTTTTAATTCAATCTGAAAGGCTCTTTTCCTTTGATTCCCTTTATTTAACACAGACAGAAAAATGAGAATTTCTTAGCTCTTATATGACTGGTTGTTGTATCAACGAGACGCTGTATCTTCTCACCATTCCCCCTTGTTTGACTGCGAAGCCTGTCTTGATGGCGGGGAGGCGGTAGGCAGGCTCGCCGTGTGAATCAAATTCACCCTCACTGGACTCCGTCACATCGTCATCACTGGTCTGAAAAGATGACGATGATCATTTGTGTGACCGTGTAATATTATTGTCTATCTAGTGTGTTGATGTTGTGACTGTTTCTTGTCACTTTATTCCTAATCTATTTTTACTATATTTATGAAGCAATAAGCTTGTGCCTGTGAATAAGCCCACCCATATGTATTACAGTTCAGTATACAATGCCTAAAATACCATTTCATTGTTCTGAAGCCAAGACTCTCAGGCTTTTAAAAGATAAACTTAATTATCAATAATTCGTCCATATAATGATCAAACATCAACTGTCATATTATGCTCAAGGTGAAATGAAAGTTATTTTAGCATACATCCTTCATTTCATCGCTAAATAAAATAACTATCCTGACACAACTATAAAATAGTTGTATTTATACTGCAATAAGCCCAAGCTTGTTATTAAATTGTAATTTACCTTGGCAAACACTACTCATTAACGTGGTGAAAATCAATATCTGTGATTGTGTCATGTAAGTATTGAACTACTGTTCAAAATTAAAAGACAATACATACAAAAAAATCGAAATACCTGGTACATTTAAAAATAAAATAAAAAAATGAATAGTGTTTTTATTTCTATTTTTTAAACAATCTTTGTTAAACTTGAGCTATAGTTATTGTATTCCATTAAAAATCTTCAAACTAGCATAAAAATCTGTGACTCAGGTATACCAAATAAAACATCATTTCCTGAGTTTTAACAATTCCTTTCAAAAATTGAAATTTCTCTGAAGTTGATTTAATCTACTCCCGTATTTCCCTGTCGATGTTATGGAAGCTTAACAGTTATGTACCTGTATTGGTATTTTACACACCACACCTCCAGCGATTTCTGTTTTGTAACCTCGGTCTGACACACCATCTTGGTGCCATTCATTGACTCGCTCCTTGGTACTCTCCATGGATGTCGGAACCTGTCAAATAAGTACCAGTTTCTTTTAGAAGGTATAACATATAGTTTCGCAGGTGTAGCAACCTTAATATGATCCTACTGTCATCATTATTATATAGGAACCTTACCGTGATCCTACTGTCATTGTTATTATATAGGAACCTTACCGTGATACTACTGGCATCGTTATTATATAGGAACCTTACCGTGATACTATTGGCATCGTTATTATATAGGAACCTAACTGTGATCCTACTGGCATCATTATTATATAGGAACCTTACCATGATACTACTGGCATCGTTATTATATAGGAACCTAACTGTGATCCTACTAGCATCATTATTATATAGGAACCTTACTGTGATCCTACTGGCATCATTATTATATAGGAACCTTACCGTGATACTACTGGCATCGTTATTATATAGGAACCTTACCGTGATACTATTGGCATCGTTATTATATAGGAACCTAACTGTGATCCTACTGGCATCATTATTATATAGGAACCTTACCGTGATCCTACTGTCATCATTATTATACAGGAACCTTACTGTGATCCTACTGGCATCGTTATTATATAGGAACCTTACCGTGATCCTACTGGCATCGTTATTATATAGGAACCTTACCGTGATCCTACTGGCATCGTTATTATATAGGAACCTTACCGTGATCCTACTGGCATCGTTATTATATAGGAACCTTACCGTGATCCTACTGGCATCGTTATTATATAGGAACCTTACCGTGATCCTACTGGCATCGTTATTATATAGGAACCTTACCGTGATCCTACTGGCATCGTTATTATATAGGAACCTTACCGTGATCCTACTGGCATCGTTATTATATAGGAACCTTACCGTGATCCTACTGGCATCGTTATTATATAGGAACCTTACCGTGATCCTACTGGCATCGTTATTATATAGGAACCTTACCGTGATCCTACTGGCATCGTTATTATATAGGAACCTTACCGTGATCCTACTGGCATCGTTATTATATAGGAACCTTACCGTGATCCTACTGGCATCGTTATTATATAGGAACCTTACCGTGATCCTACTGGCATCGTTATTATATAGGAACCTTACCGTGATCCTACTGGCATCGTTATTATATAGGAACCTTACCGTGATCCTACTGGCATCGTTATTATATAGGAACCTTACCGTGATCCTACTGGCATCGTTATTATATAGGAACCTTACCGTGATCCTACTGGCATCGTTATTATATAGGAACCTTACCGTGATCCTACTGGCATCGTTATTATATAGGAACCTTACCGTGATCCTACTGGCATCGTTATTATATAGGAACCTTACCGTGATCCTACTGGCATCGTTATTATATAGGAACCTTACCGTGATCCTACTGGCATCGTTATTATATAGGAACCTTACCGTGATCCTACTGGCATCGTTATTATATAGGAACCTTACCGTGATCCTACTGGCATCGTTATTATATAGGAACCTTACCGTGATCCTACTGGCATCGTTATTATATAGGAACCTTACCGTGATCCTACTGGCATCGTTATTATATAGGAACCTTACCGTGATCCTACTGGCATCGTTATTATATAGGAACCTTACCGTGATCCTACTGGCATCGTTATTATATAGGAACCTTACCGTGATCCTACTGGCATCGTTATTATATAGGAACCTTACCGTGATCCTACTGGCATCGTTATTATATAGGAACCTTACCGTGATCCTACTGGCATCGTTATTATATAGGAACCTTACCGTGATCCTACTGGCATCGTTATTATATAGGAACCTTACCGTGATCCTACTGGCATCGTTATTATATAGGAACCTTACCGTGATCCTACTGGCATCGTTATTATATAGGAACCTTACCGTGATCCTACTGGCATCGTTATTATATAGGAACCTTACCGTGATCCTACTGGCATCGTTATTATATAGGAACCTTACCGTGATCCTACTGGCATCGTTATTATATAGGAACCTTACCGTGATCCTACTGGCATCGTTATTATATAGGAACCTTACCGTGATCCTACTGGCATCGTTATTATATAGGAACCTTACCGTGATCCTACTGGCATCGTTATTATATAGGAACCTTACCGTGATCCTACTGGCATCGTTATTATATAGGAACCTTACCGTGATCCTACTGGCATCGTTATTATATAGGAACCTTACCGTGATCCTACTGGCATCGTTATTATATAGGAACCTTACCGTGATCCTACTGGCATCGTTATTATATAGGAACCTTACCGTGATCCTACTGGCATCGTTATTATATAGGAACCTTACCGTGATCCTACTGGCATCGTTATTATATAGGAACCTTACCGTGATCCTACTGGCATCGTTATTATATAGGAACCTTACCGTGATCCTACTGGCATCGTTATTATATAGGAACCTTACCGTGATCCTACTGGCATCGTTATTATATAGGAACCTTACCGTGATCCTACTGGCATCGTTATTATATAGGAACCTTACCGTGATCCTACTGGCATCGTTATTATATAGGAACCTTACCGTGATCCTACTGGCATCGTTATTATATAGGAACCTTACCGTGATCCTACTGGCATCGTTATTATATAGGAACCTTACCGTGATCCTACTGGCATCGTTATTATATAGGAACCTTACCGTGATCCTACTGGCATCGTTATTATATAGGAACCTTACCGTGATCCTACTGGCATCGTTATTATATAGGAACCTTACCGTGATCCTACTGGCATCGTTATTATATAGGAACCTTACCGTGATCCTACTGGCATCGTTATTATATAGGAACCTTACCGTGATCCTACTGGCATCGTTATTATATAGGAACCTTACCGTGATCCTACTGGCATCGTTATTATATAGGAACCTTACCGTGATCCTACTGGCATCGTTATTATATAGGAACCTTACCGTGATCCTACTGGCATCGTTATTATATAGGAACCTTACCGTGATCCTACTGGCATCGTTATTATATAGGAACCTTACCGTGATCCTACTGGCATCGTTATTATATAGGAACCGTACCGTGATCCTACTGGCATCATTATTATATAGGAACATTACCGTGATCCTACTAGCATCATTATTATATAGGAACCTTACCGTGATCCTACTGGCATCATTATTATATACGAACCTTCCTATGGTACTACTGGCATCAATATTATATAGGAACCTTACCGTGATCCTACTGGCATTGTTAATATATAGGAACCTTACCGTGATCCTACTGGCATCGTTATTATATAGGACCCTTACCGTGATCCTACTGGCATCATTATTATATACGAACCTTCCAATGGTACTACTGGCATCAATATTATATAGGAACCTTACCGTGATCCTACTGGCATCGTTATTATATAGGAACCTTACCGTGATCCTACTGGAAACGTTATTATATAGGAACCTTACCGTGATACTACTGGCATCGTTATTATATAGGACCCTTACCGTGATCCTACTGGCATCGTTATTATATAGGAATCTTACTGTGATCTACTGGCATCGTTATTATATAGGATCCTTACCGTGATCCTACTGGAAACGTTATTATATAGGAACCTTACCGTGATCCCACTGGCATCGTTATTATATAGGAACCTTACAGTGATCCTACTGGCATCATTATTATATAGGAACCTTACCGTGCTCCTACTGGCATCGTTATTATATAGGAACCTTACAGTGATCCTACTGGCATCATTATTATATAGGAACCTTACCGTGATACTACAGGCATCGTTATTATATAGGAACCTTACTGGGATCTACTGGCATCGTTATTATATAGGAACCTAACCGTGATCCTACTGGCATCGTTATTATATAGGAATCTTACTGTGATCTACTGGCATCGTTATTATATAGGAACCTAACCGTGATCCTACTGGCATCGTTATTATATAGGAACCTTTCCGTGATCCTACTGGCATCGTTATTATATAGTAACCTTACCGTGATCCTACTGGCATCATTATTATATAGGAACCTTACCGTGATCCTACTGGAATCATTATTATATAGGAACCGTACCGTGATCCTACTGGCATCGTTATTATATAGGAACCTTACTGTGATCCTACTGGCATCATTTAAAGCCTCTATCCACATCCTCATATCTTTGCTGTCATCAGCCTGAAGGAACATCGTCTTCCCCGCAAAATTAACCACTGAATACAGAAAATAAAAGTACAAGTTAAGTTTTTTTATAATGACCAATGATAACATTATTTTCTCATGATCAGTGACTATGATGTAAGTTATTCATAATTATAAGTTATTGTTAAATTGTACAAGACATTGAACTTACCAAAACAGCTATCAACTTTTGGGTGCTGTTTCCTTGCATCACTAACCTTAAAAAACAAACAAAGATAAGGAATTAATGTCACTTAACTGAATAACATAATGTTGTGTGTATACTGCCAGAGTACTGAACTGTAACATGTACAGTGATTAGCTCCAGGAAGGCTGCTCTCAGATATCATCAAGTGTTGGAACAGTAGAGCCATAAACAGTCAGTGAGAAAACACTGTAGGTCTATGGGAATCAATGGCTTGTCTTCATAGACCAAGTTGTCTATGCTGTTTCCCTACCATGTGTATGATTCCATGATAAGTCTAGAGGTGAGGGGAAAAGGAGCTTCCTTTAATATAGGTGGAGGCACGGTAGTCTAGTGGTAGGACACCGGACTCGTGACTGAAGGGTTGCAGGTTCAAGTCACGGCACAACACTGTGTTGTATCTTTGAGCAAGATACTTTACTCCGCTTGTTCCGGTCACTCAGCTGTAAATGAGTGTGTGGTTGGGCAGTGCTAGAATTGTAGAATGCTAGCTGTGAGCGCCAAAATGGCAGTACCGGCTGTATGATATGCTCCCCAGGGAGTTGAGAAAGATATTGGCTGGTTGCAAAGGCCCTATAACCACGGATAATAATTTGTGAATCGCTTTGAGACAACCTAGGAACTAGGTTGTGATAAAGCGGTATATAAGAACCTTAAATTGTTATTATTATTAGTAGTAGTAATTTTACAATATCAAGCATTATATATATGTAAGTAAACTTTAATTTGGTCAAGGTTGGGTGTATGGAAGTTTCAGTACATATTGTGTAGGTCTATAGATATCTACATGATAGAGACCTAATGTTTATGGTGGGTAAATTTGAAATTCTAAAACTGATCCTGGCTGAAACCATCTTGGTGGCACAGAAATATCACGTGATTAACAAATACACCTAGACCAGAAGTGTGCCAGCATTATACAGACAGAGATCAAAATGCAGAGTTTCTGAGTTTTGTTACAATGAATTAAGATTCATGCAGACATGCTTTTTTCACTTGTGAATTACATTTGTTTGATGTAGAAGCGGTTTAAACTAGTGATAATTAACATTTTATAATTTTTGTTTGGTACTCCTAGACTCCTTAATACAAATTGTGGCAAATTTTCTAAAAGGTCAGACTCAGTGTTAATCTAGACCTGTGTAGGTTCTTTTCTAAAGGTTCAGCCAGTTGAAATGAATGAACTCACACAAAGCAGCTTGGACTCAATACCATACACCAAGGGAGATAACTGCTTCTGTGCCCGTGTTTCATTTGTCTTTTTCAAATATCAGTGGTCAGGTGATGTTCTTATATGCATTTCTATAAAATTGGAGATTAAACCTTTCACCCCTATGTAACTTTAGTAGACTCTACCATGCATTGATCTGGATGAGTCCATTATGGTCAACAGTGGTGAAAGGGTTAAACTGGGAAATGACAGCATGACTATATATCTAGTTCCTCCTACATTTAGTTCGATTTATTTTACAGGCATTTTCAGTGCTACAAGTAATACCTTTATAGGATATTGACATTCTGGTAATATACTGTCTGTTAGAAAATGGGGGAAGGGGAGACAACTGTCCTTGTAATTTTTACCTTGGAAATGAATTGTAGAGGGATACCATCTACTGGTGTTCTGTTGTTGTGGGGAAGATTCTGTAAACAAAATAAAATTTGATGATTATTAATAGCATATATTTTCATTATTATTATTATATCACATTTGATACAGTACCCTATCTGCTGTAGGTAAACACTCTAAAGCTGTCAACAATACTGAGAGGATATTCAATGTTTCCTGTTGTACCATACAATGTCACAAGAAAGGCAGAATATCAATATTTTTCATGAGTGAAAATATCGGTACATTCTGCCATACAAGTGAAATATATATATGGTAGTAAACTGTACACCATCAAACATCCTCTATATATATGGTAGTAAACTGTACACCATTAAACATCCTCTATATATATGGTAGTAAACTGTACACCATTAAACATCCTCTATATATATGGTAGTAAACTGTACACCATTAAAACATCCTCTATATATATGGTCGTACACTGTACACCATTAAACATCCTCTATATATATGGTAGTAAACTGTACACCATTAATCATCCTCTATATATATGTATATATATAACTGTTTGATTTGGTGAGATGTAATATCTTAGATACATATTACTTTAGGAAATCACCCTTTAAAAGCAGCAAAATGCAAAAAAGAGCAGGAATCAAATTAGTAGCGTAATATCTGATGCCAGGTTCTAAATACGTCATGTTTAACTACAAAGTAGAGTGCCGTTTTGACTGGGTTATTCAATCAATTCTGCCATTTGCTGCTATATCTCAGGTGTACCAAAACAACAACTTCTTCTGATATAGCTTCATCTGAACTTGAAACTGAATTTAAATTCTACACAGTGAATAGAAAGTACCATTCTGATTGGACGATACTTAAATTTGATCTATTCACATATGAAGCAGGGATAATTCTGGATAGGGCCATGGGGCCATTGACCCCTGAATGTTCCAATTTTCTTTAATTTTATATAGAATGACCACTCTCAATTTTGATATTGACTAAAAAATTGCTGAAAATGGCCCACTGCTCTCAAATTCCAGGATTTTCCCTGATGAAGATATAATTTTTCTTATATTTCAGAGTAATTACATAAATTCCTTCCTCAATTAATTAAGCAGAGGAAAATGACACAATCAAAGTCCATATCTTACCAGGGGATTATCCATGAAGTATTGAAACTTCCCTTCTTTGGTGTTAAGTATGAAATATCGTCGACTAAAACGGCCACTGTTTTCTTTTTCCTCAATATTGAGGAACCCACACAAGCGCCCGCGCTTGTCCATGTAAGGCATGGTGTTGGACTCAAAGAACGGAGACGATTTGGCGTAGTTTTAGGCACAAGGCATCGTAGACTTCCCTACTAGAATGTGTCACCTGGCCTAGACATTATCCGTCCAGGTCAGTGTACACGTCCTGAACTCCTTAGCGCAAGCTTGACTGTCTGGAAACAGGAAATATACCAATATCAATTACAAAAGCTTGATATTATTGTTGTTTGCATATAATAGAATATGTGTTTACATTGGAAATACTGAATAGATAACAGAAAGACAACGATAATGGACAACCCTGGCTAAATGTTTCCCTATGGCTGTGGATCACAATCAAACAAGACCACTAAACACAGTTATAACATCTTCCTTTGTTTCCATTGTACATTTTATAATAATAGGTGGATTGGTCGAACGGTCAAGTCAATGGCCTGAAAGCTTCTACCCAGATGACCAGAGGTAAACTCCCGTACAATTTTCATTAAAAAGGTTTTTTGGTCCTTTACTTTAAGAATAGAGAACTCCTCCTAGTGGAGTCCTTTCTTGACTTCGTAATGACCCCAGACTTCTTCAGCTGAAAGTTAGACAGCCAAAACCTTCCCGAGGGTGCATGGAGATTTTCACTTTCCCTACTCTCAAAATATTTATATATAATAAACCTTTTTCTAATAATGCCAATTGTACACGCATGTGCACTACTATGACCATCAACTTGTTAACCCATTTACTATGTTATACTATAATTTATCAGAATTTACAATTTAACGAAACTCAGTTCACTATGGGGATTTTGATCCCAATTAGACCTCCTGATAAAAGCATTGGAAGATTTTGCTGCAATACTGTATCACTTAAAGGATACTGTATTAGAAACATGGCCCTTGACTCTCTAGCTTAAGGCCTGTTTCACAGCCCTTGACTCTAGCTTAGGGCCTGTTTTACAGCCCTTGACTCTAGCTTAATGCCTGTTTCACAGTCCTTGACTCTAGCTTAAGGCCTGAATTTACAGCCCTTGACTCTAGCTTAAGGCCTGAATTCACAGCCCTTGACTCTAGCTTAAGGCCGTAATTCACAGCCCTTGACTCTAGCTTAAGGCCGTAATTCACAGCCCTTGACTCTAGCTTAAGGCCTTAATTCACAGCCCTTGACTCTAGCTTAAGGCCGTAATTCACAGCCCTTGACTCTAGCTTAAGGCCGTAATTCACAGCCCTTGACTCTAGCTTAAGGCCTTAATGCCTGTTTCACAGTCCTTGACTCTAGCTTAAGGCCTGTTTCACAGTCCTTGGCTCTAGCTTAAGGCCTGTTTCACAGCCCTTGACTCTGGCTAATTAAGGCATGTTTCACAGCCCTTGACTCTAGCTTAAGGCCTGAATTCACAGCCCTTGACTCTAGATTAAGGCCTGTTTCACACTCCTTGACTCTAGCTTAAGGCCTGTTTCACAGCCCTTGACTCTAGCTAATTAAGGCATGTTTCACAGCCCTTGACTCTAGCTTAAGGCCTGTTTCACAGTCCTTGACTCTAGCTTAAGGCCTGTTTCACAGCCCTTGACTCTAGCTAAAGGCCTGTTTCACAGCCCTTGCCTCTAGCTAATTAAGGCCTGTTTCACAGCCCTTGGCTCTAGCTAATTAAGGCCTGTTTCACAGCCCTTGACTCTAACTAATTAAGGCATGTTTCACAGCCCTTGACTCTAGCTTAAGGCCTGAATTCCCAGCCCTTGACTCTAACTAATTAAGGCATTTTTCACAGCCCTTGACTCTGGCTAATTAAGGCATGTTTCACATCCCTTGATTCTAGCTAATTAAGTGCTGTTTCACAGCCCTTGGCTCTAGCTAATTAAGTGCTGTTTCACAGCCCTTGATTCTCGCTAATTAAGGCCTGTTTCCCAGCCCTTGACTCTAACTAATTAAGGCATTTTTCACAGCCCTTGACTATAGTTTAAGGCCTGTTTCACACCCCCTGACTCTAACTAATTAAGGCATTTTTCACAGCCCTTGACTCTAGCTAATTAAGGCCTGTTTCACAGCCCTTGACTCTAGCTTAAGGCCTGAACTCACAGCCCTTGACTCTAGCTTAAGGCCTGTTTCACAGCCCTTGAGTCTAGCTAATTAAGGCCTGTTTCACAGCCCTTGACTCTAACTTAAGGCCTGAACTCACAGCCCTTGACTCTAGCTCAAGGCCTGTTTCACAGCCCTTGACTCTAGCTTAAGGCCTTAACTCACAGCCCTTGACTCTAGCTTAAGGACTGTTTCACAGCCCTTGACTCTAGCTTAAGGGCTGAACTCACAGCCCTTGACTCTAGCTTAAGGCCTGTTTCACAGCCCTTGACTCTAGCTTAAGGCCTGTTTCACAAACTTTTTCACCATTTGAGCTATATGTACATGGTCAACAGTGATACACCTAATAGAAGCCGTCTTTATTTATCGCGATCCAAACGGTTGAACCGGTCAGACCACAGTTAAATATAGTAATCTGATGCTGTTTTCAGGCGAGCCTTGACAAAGCCTTGCAAGGCCTGCATAAACCTTTGTAGGTCCGCCAGGATTCATAACCGAAAATGTTATGTTTGAAAATGGATGTACCAGTTGTTCTGCATATATATATATATAAGTGAACAGGCCCCGGTCCATACCTTTTATACAAATCTGTCCTTTTTCGAAGTCTTTGCCTCAAATGACAACAACATTATTTACAACCCCGGTTTGGGTGTCTCTTTGCCAAGTGTACCTGTACACACAGTACTTAAATCAAGGGTTATTCACAGGCACCGTCGTAACAGGAAAGGGAAAATGGGCCAGCCCAATACAAAACCTGGGAGCTCCATACCCTTCCTAGACGTTCTAACAAATTGAGCTACGTATACCCGATCATTGATTGTCACGGATCTAGATCAAATCTAACAAATAATTACAGGTATTTGAAGTTTCCATTAGTCAGATTTCAGGATCCACTGACAAAGAATTCAAGATTTTCTCCCCATCTCTCAGGAGCCAGCATCACTATAGCTAATCTAAAGACTCTGAAGATTTTACTGAATTTCCTTTTCAAAATGCAAACAAATTTAAATCAGTGTTCTTTCTACATCAATTTTACAACAGCCTGTTCCTACATGAATTAGGAAAATGTAGCACTATTTTCATTCAAATTGGGAAGATTTCCTCATTTTCTTCATTTTAGGAAAATAAAACACCTTTCTGCTAGAGGCAGCAGACTGTTCTGTTTTTGGCTGCAAAACTAGGGGAAGGGAGGGGGGGGGGGGGGGGTCACTGTGAACAAAGATGTTTACTTTACTAGACAATTATTATTATCACAATAGAAACTACCAGGCCAGGTACTTTAGTTTGATTCGCCACTAGATTCACCTATAGACTACCTCTAGTAATGCTAACGTACAGGACGTTATAGGTCCTTTGTATGATGGTACACACTGTAATGGAATTTACTCAAATTCAATTATTATCCACTTGGCTGCATGTCAAAAATCTTATCCTCAAGTATGGGTGTGTATATATATACATTTAGTATTTACTGTATTCATCATAATTATCGCCCATCCCACTATTAAGCGAACCTAATTCTTCTTCCAGCACATACTGAAATGGTATATAAGCACACGATTACCTAAATATGTCTGCTCTGGTTATATAATAGTACTTATATATGTCCATCTCTTGGGTCTGCTCAGGTTTAATAATAGTACTTGATACTTGATTATATCAGACAATTCAGTTTTGCTAAAACAAAACTTTTGGAATTCTTTCTGCAAAAACATATATATATATATACCTTACTTACGGGACTTCTATGACAAGATAATACAGACGAGCTAAACAAAATTTGTTTTGAGTGTAAAATTCAGCATGGCCAGACCAGGGTTCAAACCCTGCACTTCAAACTGTTATACTGTAACATATATTCTAACCAATTGAGCTACCTAGTCAATGACAGTGCACTGGCTAAATTGCAACAGGAGTATAAGTACCACAGGGCGGAACAATATACGCCCGTCTCCTGTGAATCTGACATACTAACAGGAGTACAACAGGGCGGAACAATATACGCCTGTCTCCTGAGAATCTGACATACTAACAGGAGTACCACAGGGTGGAACAATATGCCCCCGTCTCCTGTGAATCTGACATCCTAACAGGAGTACCACAGGGCGGAACAAGATACGCCCGGCTCCTGTGAATCTGACACCCTAACAGGAGTACCACAGGGCGGAACAATATACCCCCGTCTCCGGTGAATCTGACATACTAACAGGAGAACCACAGGGAGGAACAATATACACCCGTCTCCTGTGAATCTGACATACTAACAGGAGTACCACAGGGAGGAATAATATACCCACGTCTCCTGTGAATCTGACATACTAACAGGAGTACCACAGGGCGGAACAATATACGCCTGTCTCCTGAGAATCTGACATACTAACAGGAGTACCACAGGGAGGAACAATATACGCCCGTCTCCTGTGAATCTGACATACTAACAGGAGTACCACAGGGTGGAACAATATACGCCCGTCTCCTGTGAATCTGACATACTAACAGGAGTACCACAGGGTGGAACAATATACGCCCGTCTCCTGTGAATCTGACATACTAACAGGAGTACCACAGGGTGGAACAATATACGCCCGTCTCCTGTGAATCTGACATACTAACAGGAGTACCACAGGGTGGAACAATATACGCCCGTCTCCTGTGAATCTGACATACTAACAGGAGTACCACAGGGTGGAACAATATACGCCCGTCTCCTGTGAATCTGACATACTAACAGGAGTACCACAGGGTGGAACAATATACGCCCGTCTCCTGTGAATCTGACATACTAACAGGAGTACCACAGGGTGGAACAATATACGCCCGTCTCCTGTGAATCTGACATACTAACAGGAGTACCACAGGGTGGAACAATATACGCCCGTCTCCTGTGAATCTGACATACTAACAGGAGTACCACAGGGTGGAACAATATACGCCCGTCTCCTGTGAATCTGACATACTAACAGGAGTACCACAGGGTGGAACAATATACGCCCGTCTCCTGTGAATCTGACATACAAACAGGAGTACCACAGGGTGGAACAATATACGCCCGTCTCCTGTGAATCTGACATACTAACAGGAGTACCACAGGGAGGAACAATATACCCCCGTCTCCTGTGAATCTGACATACTTAAAATCCTTCTGATGCATTATTATATATAAATGTATGCAAATCTGGAAATGTATGGAGAAAAACAATGTAGTTGACCAACTTAAGCTGAAGGAATATATACATTACATATATATAGCCTTTATTACCTTAAAAAATTGATTTGAAATTGCCTCCCTTTCTACATATTTCAAACCATTTAGGCAGAAATCAAAAACGCTCCTTTTTGCCAATATTATAATCTTACACCATTCTAAAACCAAAGACATTGATTAAATTCTGTTTATTAATTACTGGCAGATTTCACTTTTAGACAAAGTGTAAATATTGACTAAGTGTCAACAAAATCCAGTCACATCTGACTAATAATAAGTTATTGTGCGGAAACAGTCAACCAATCAGATAGCAGTATACCAATACATTATGTGCAGGTTTTGATAACCTTTATGCTTAGCCTATATAAGCTATGTCATTGTATAATATTAATATTGATGTTTCATCGGAATCTGGCCACATTCGACAAAGTTATGCTGCAGAAACCATGAACCAATCAGAGCACAGTATGCTTATTAATTACCCACGTACATATGTATTTTGCTCAACATCAAACTTAGCCTCATTCTTCATATATAATGTACATGCATATATACCAAGTTTCATCAAAGTCAAATGACGATAAGCAAGTTATCTTGCATAAACCTAAAGGGTGGATGCATGAGCATTCCCCCTAGATGGACTCAATAGCATAATACGTCCTGCATCATCAAAATCAAATAAAGGGAAGTAACTGTGTATATATGAAAAACAATAATAGAACTCTCTAGATAGTGTTTTGCCTGATTTAAGAGCTATGGGTGATAAAATAAATACTCGCAGTTGTGACCAGTGAGATTTCTTCCTCCTACAGGGGCCTTGTCACTTTGATAAAATAAATATATATATACTCCCAGTTGTGACCAGTGTGTTTTCTACCTCCTACAGGGGCCTTGTCACTTTGATAAAATAAATACTCCCAATTGTAACCAGTGAGTTTTCTATCTCTTACACGAGCCTTGTCACTTTGATAAAATAATTACTCCCAGTTGTGACCAGTGAGTTTTCTACCTCCTACAGGGGCCTTGTCACTTTGATAAAATAAATACTCCCAGTTGTGACCAGTGAGTTTTCTACCTCCTACAGGGGCCTTGTCACTTTGATAAAATAAATACTCCCAGTTGTGACCAGTGAGTTTTCTACCTCCTACAGGGGCCTTGTCACTTTGATAAAATAAATACTCCCAGTTGTGACCAGTGAGTTTTCTACCTCCTACAGGGGCCTTGTCACTTTGATAAAATAAATACTCCCAGTTGTGACCAGTGAGTTTTCTACCTCCTACAGGGGCCTTGTCACTTTGATAAAATAAATACTCCCAGTTGTGACCAGTGAGTTTTCTACCTCCTACAGGGGCCTTGTCACTTTGATAAAATAAATACTCCCAGTTGTGACCAGTGAGTTTTCTACCTCCTACAGGGGCCTTGTCACTTTGATAAAATAAATACTCCCAGTTGTGACCAGTGAGTTTTCTACCTCCTACAGGGGCCTTGTCACTTTGATAAAATAAATACTCCCAGTTGTGACCAGTGAGTTTTCTACCTCCTACAGGGGCCTTGTCACTTTGATAAAATAAATACTCCCAGTTGTGACCAGTGAGTTTTCTACCTCCTACAGGGGCCTTGTCACTTTGATAAAATAAATACTCCCAGTTGTGACCAGTGAGTTTTCTACCTCCTACAGGGGCCTTGTCACTTTGATAAAATAAATACTCCCAGTTGTGACCAGTGAGTTTTCTACCTCCTACAGGGGCCTTGTCACTTTGATAAAATAAATACTCCCAGTTGTGACCAGTGAGTTTTCTACCTCCTACAGGGGCCTTGTCACTTTGATAAAATAAATACTCCCAGTTGTGACCAGTGAGTTTTCTACCTCCTACAGGGGCCTTGTCACTTTGATAAAATAAATACTCCCAGTTGTGACCAGTGAGTTTTCTACCTCCTACAGGGGCCTTGTCACTTTGATAAAATAAATACTCCCAGTTGTGACCAGTGAGTTTTCTACCTCCTACAGGGGCCTTGTCACTTTGATAAAATAAATACTCCCAGTTGTAACCAGTGAGTTTTCTACCTCCTACAGGGGCCTTGTCACTTTGATAAAATAAATACTCCCAGTTGTGACCAGTGAGTTTTCTACCTCCTACAGGGGCCTTGTCACTTTGATAAAATAAATACTCCCAGTTGTAACCAGTGAGTTTTCTACCTCCTACAGGGGCCTTGTCACTGTGATAAAATAAATACTCCCAGTTGTGACCAGTGTGTTTTCTACCCCCTACAGGGGCCTTGTCACTGTGATAAAATAAATATATATATACTCCCAGTTGTAACCAGCGAGTTTTCTACCTCTTACAGGGGCCTGTACTGCCTTGTCACTGTGATAAAATAAATACTCCCAGTTGTAACGAGTGAGTTTTCTACCTCCTACAGGGGCCTGTACTGCCTTGTCACTGTGATAAAAGCATATGCCACACACACAATGTATGATAGGAAATATATGAAGATCTATCAGGTATAGAATACAGCCCCGATAATGCAGAGCTACAACGCACCTTCGTTTCTGTGACTGAATACAGAAGGAACAATTTTTACATAGCAAAAGGCCAATCTGTCCCTCAACCCAGACAGGATTAGAACCTAACACGTGGTGACATGATAGAGGTTTACAAAATATTGTCCGAGAAATGTGACCGTGAAGTATCCGACATATTTGATATCAAGGAAAGTTCATCTCCACATGGACACAACTTTAAAAATTTACAAATCGCATTCAAAATTAAACATTCAAAATTTTGGTTTACACAGAGAACTGTTGTTTTATGGAACAATCTTCGGTCAAATGTTGTGAATTCTGGGCCTAGGACAGTTAAACAATTTGAATATGAATCAGATGATCACTGGTAAAACCAAGTGCAGAAATACAGTTTTAAAGAAAAAATTGAAATCTAAACATAGTAACTTTTGAAATAAGTTTTTATTTAATTGTTTTTTATTTCATAACTGAGTGTCAAAGGATTGTAATATCTTAATTTTGTCAAAATAAATCTATGTATCTATATATGTATCTAACACAAATCTACATAGCAAAATGAATGTTAACCTTAAAGGGAAAGCTAAATTGTTAAAATATCCATCACATACAAATTTCTGCATGTAGAATTTCGCTTGAAAAATATGCTATAGATATTCACCAAGATGTTGTATGAAAGATTTCCTTATATGATTGCTCGCTCGTCTCTCACTCTCTGTAGTTGGTTTCACTCATGTTCAGATCTCATTTCAAATCAAAAAATTATATTTGTGGGTAATTATAAGTCTCTTATCAATTAGTGAGCGTACTTTTCAATCATCTGTAAAAAATTCCTAGTGTCTAATTAGTAGTTGGTTATAATTATGACCCCAGACAGCTACAGTTCAAGTTAGAAAAGTGTTGACCAGACTCTCAAGATTCGATTATACTGGTATATTTTTGACAGGCGTATATAAAAAAAAAAAACATGAAATCCAAATATGGAAATTTGAATTTAAGTAAATCCATGAGATTTGCAGAACACATAAATAATAGGATATACACATGAACAGCATATTTTAAACAAACAACATTTTTGCAGATCTGAGGACAGGAAATTAAATCAATGATATGCCTGTCTCTGTTTCTGTTTTCCTTCCGTTATTTATTGTTTTCTTATAAACACTATTTGTACTTTACCTTACTGCAGCCTTGTCAGTAGAAGTGGCCCAGGGTGATTTAAATTGTCACGATAGGTTTGAAGTTATTTAATTCTGCTTTTCATAACCAGCTACTTTTCTGTTTATCTTTTTAACCGAGGAAATCTTGGAAGGTCACTTTAAATTTCCTGCTACTTTTTCTGAAATTAACCCGACTCCACGTTTTGTTGACCTCAACACTGCTCCTTAAGCTTCCACACGCTCAAGCTTCCTATTTATGTTGGTTTTAAACTGTGTGTTCATACATCGTTAACTATCAACAAATCAATCCACTTACCAGCAAAATAAAAATGTAGTTACCAGAAGTATTCAGGAAACACACAAGCACGTTTACAGTACATATACAGGTTATTCTTGTTCAATTACATTTCATTTCCTTATACTGCCTGGCTCCCTAAAATTTCAATTGATACCCTCTAGAGTAACAGATAACATATGTTCAGTTATGTTGGTGAGAATTTGAAAATGTAGACCAGAACTAAATATGCCATTAAATGGACAAATGATTTGTGAAGACCAGATAAACAAAGGGTCCTGTGCTTCTCACCTGTAGTGTACTGTCTTTCGTTACTCAAGGAAAGACGCTGAATTATTTCCGCTAAAATTGATAAAAAATGAACACAATTGGTAAGGCAATGACAGGAATGTTTGTAAAATATATATCAAAGACAATAAGGGTAGCCATTTTAAACATTGGATCAGTTCAAAATACAATAGCAACCGTTCAGGGATATACATTTGTGCATTGTATGTATATCTGATCATTGTTTGAAGTTGAAAATGACTCCCGGGAATGAAGCGAATAACAATCGGTTTCAAAAAATAAAAACCATGTAGCGAAACTGGACAGGGTTGATCTCCGGCCACCCGCTAACTAGGTAGTCAACTGATTAGCGCCAGCTCTGTCTAGAATTCAGAGGTACTGGTGTTCCTGGCTAGTACATTCTCCCTCTCCTGTTACAGTGGTCCCTGTCACCAACTATTGTTTCAAGTATGTAAATATACTAGTGTGTATGCTTGGCAAGAGGATACTCAAACCTAGCTTGTAAAATAGTTTTGTCTTTGGGGGCAAATACTTAGAAAAAGGAGGGAGAAATGTAGTGGAACTGCCATGGACTGGGTTGTTCATGGGCCATCTGCAGGCAGTTCAATGGGTGGTAGAGCATCCATATAGCCACACCAGTCTGGCTGTGCATTTTTATGCTCCAATTACACAGAGACATAACAGAATTCATTGACATGCATATCTTACCATATAGTCAAGGTAAAACTTCATCTCTTTTTCAAATAGAAGTGTTTTTTTCAAATTAACCCTTATTTTGGTTTTTGGCCATGCTCAGGCCTCTGCCATTAGGAAGGCCAAATCTGTCATTTGTGCAGTACCTAATTCCTTTAGCTCAAGAATGCTCCATACCAAATCAGGTCAAAATCACTTTACAAGTATTAAAGAGTTATAGTTTATAAATGATTAACATTTATTTTCACCTTTTGGGTGTTGCTCAGACTACCGTTTATGGGTAGTTTATGGGTAGTTCCCCTACAGAAGAAAATTCCACTGTTCTTTGAAATTCCCCCTATGTGCTTCAAAATTCCCCTACTTCAACAAGATAAGCAGCTTTTCTTCAAAATATTTCCCCCATATGTTTTCTTTAAAGTTCAACAGTAAAAATGCATAATACTGCATATATACATTTTCTTCACATAATTTAAACAAAAATTCTACAAATTTAAGCTTAAAATTGTTTATAAATTGAAATATACTGCACACATGTATGTCCGACAAAACATTTATCTTTTACCTTCATGACGCTAGAGCCTTGTATCAAAATTTTAATTTCCCACAAATCTGAAAAAGGGTAGATTCCCCTAAAACCTTAATTGATCCCTGATTACATCCTATTAACAGCTAGGGTCATTTAAGGACTTGACAGGTGTAAAGGAGGTTGAGTAAAACTGGAGTACCCAGAGAAAAACCATGAACATGTAGCCAGTACCTGTGGAATATCCCACTTATACCCCGAACCCGCAACCCAGTTTAAATTAAATCCCTTAGAGAATTAGGGTCCCTTTCATTTGACTACCTTAAATTAGCCCAGAAATACTCTAGATCTATGCCCAAGTGATATCCAAATATCTCATCTAGTATTTTAGGAGTAGTCTTTACCAACATTCCTATTTCCCCTCTGTCTCAGTCAGGGAAGACGGTCTGTCCTTTTTATTTTAGTTTTAAACTGTGTGAAATCTGTTCAGATCCTAGCTTAAAACTTATAATAAATAATTCTGAACAGGAATGCAGACAAATCAAGTGACATGAGTAAGAACTACTATTTGTCTAAAAACCTGTTCAGAATTAGGACTAGCTATGATAATTAGAATGCAGCCAGCCAGTGTCACCAATGATATAGTTAACACATCAACAATGGAACAGCAACCAGCCAGTGTCACCAATGATATGGTTAACACGTCAACAATGGAACAACAACCAGTCAGTGTCACCAATACTATGGTTAACACGTCAACAATGGAACAGCAACCAGTCAGTGTCACCAATGATATGGTTAACACATCAACAATGGAACAGCAACCAGTCAGTGTCACCAATGCTATGATTAACTAGTCAACAATGGAACAGCAACCAGCCAGTGTCACCAATACTATGATTAACACATCAACAATGGAACAACAACCAGTCAGTGTCACCAATGATATGGTTAACACATCAACAATGGAACAGCAACCAGTCAGTGTCACCAATGCTATGATTAACACATCAACAATGGAACAGCAACCAGTCAGTGTCACCAATGCTATGATTAACACATCAACAATGGAACAGCAACCAGTCAGTGTCACCAATGCTATGATTAACACATCAACAATGGAACAGCAACCAGTCAGTGTCACCAATGCTATGATTAACACATCAACAATGGAACAGCAACCAGTCAGTGTCACCAATGCTATGATTAACACATCAACAATGGAACAGCAACCAGTCAGTGTCACCAATACTATGATTAACACATCAACAATGGAACAACAACCAGTCAGTGTCACCAATGCTATGATTAACACATCAACAATGGAACAGCAACCAGTCAGTGTCACCAATGCTATGATTAACACATCAACAATGGAACAGCAACCAGTCAGTGTCACCAATGCTATGATTAACACATCAACAATGGAACAGCAACCAGTCAGTGTCACCAATGCTATGATTAACACATCAACAATGGAACAGCAACCAGTCAGTGTCACCAATGCTATGATTAACACATCAACAATGGAACAGCAACCAGTCAGTGTCACCAATGCTATGATTAACACATCAACAATGGAACAGCAACCAGTCAGTGTCACCAATGCTATGATTAACACATCAACAATGGAACAGCAACCAGTCAGTGTCACCAATGCTATGATTAACACATCAACAATGGAACAGCAACCAGTCAGTGTCACCAATGCTATGATTAACACATCAACAATGGAACAGCAACCAGTCAGTGTCACCAATGCTATGATTAACACATCAACAATGGAACAGCAACCAGTCAGTGTCACCAATGCTATGATTAACACATCAACAATGGAACAGCAACCAGTCAGTGTCACCAATACTATGATTAACACATCAACAATGGAACAACAACCAGTCAGTGTCACCAATGCTATGATTAACACATCAACAATGGAACAGCAACCAGTCAGTGTCACCAATGCTATGATTAACACATCAACAATGGAACAGCAACCAGTCAGTGTCACCAATACTATGATTAACACATCAACAATGGAACAACAACCAGTCAGTGTCACCAATGCTATGATTAACACATCAACAATGGAACAGCAACCAGTCAGTGTCACCAATGCTATGATTAACACATCAACAATGGAACAGCAACCAGTCAGTGTCACCAATGCTATGATTAACACATCAACAATGGAACAGCAACCAGTCAGTGTCACCAATGCTATGATTAACACATCAACAATGGAACAGCAACCAGTCAGTGTCACCAATGCTATGATTAACACATCAACAATGGAACAGCAACCAGTCAGTGTCACCAATGCTATGATTAACACATCAACAATGGAACAGCAACCAGTCAGTGTCACCAATGCTATGATTAACACATCAACAATGGAACAGCAACCAGTCAGTGTCACCAATGCTATGATTAACACATCAACAATGGAACAGCAACCAGTCAGTGTCACCAATGCTATGATTAACACATCAACAATGGAACAGCAACCAGTCAGTGTCACCAATGCTATGATTAACACATCAACAATGGAACAGCAACCAGTCAGTGTCACCAATACTATGATTAACACATCAACAATGGAACAACAACCAGTCAGTGTCACCAATGCTATGATTAACACATCAACAATGGAACAGCAACCAGTCAGTGTCACCAATGCTATGATTAACACATCAACAATGGAACAGCAACCAGTCAGTGTCACCAATACTATGATTAACACATCAACAATGGAACAACAACCAGTCAGTGTCACCAATGCTATGATTAACACATCAACAATGGAACAGCAACCAGTCAGTGTCACCAATGCTATGATTAACACATCAACAATGGAACAGCAACCAGTCAGTGTCACCAATACTATGATTAACACATCAACAATGGAACAACAACCAGTCAGTGTCACCAATGCTATGATTAACACATCAACAATGGAACAGCAACCAGTCAGTGTCACCAATGCTATGATTAACACATCAACAATGGAACAGCAACCAGTCAGTGTCACCAATACTATGATTAACACATCAACAATGGAACAACAACCAGTCAGTGTCACCAATGCTATGATTAACACATCAACAATGGAACAGCAACCAGTCAGTGTCACCAATGCTATGATTAACACATCAACAATGGAACAGCAACCAGTCAGTGTCACCAATGCTATGATTAACACATCAACAATGGAACAGCAACCAGTCAGTGTCACCAATACTATGATTAACACATCAACAATGGAACAACAACCAGTCAGTGTCACCAATGCTATGATTAACACATCAACAATGGAACAGCAACCAGTCAGTGTCACCAATGCTATGATTAACACATCAACAATGGAACAGCAACCAGCCAGTGTCACCAATGATATGATTAACACATCAACAATGGAACAACAACCAGCCAGTGTCACCAATACTATGATTAACACATCAACAATGGAACAGCAACCAGCCAGTGTCACCAATGCTATGGTTAACACATCATCAATGGAACAGCAACCAGTCAGTATCACCAATGCTATGATTAACACGTCAACAATGGAACAACAACCAGTCAGTGTCACCAATGCTATGATTAACCCATCAACAATGGAACAACAACCAGCCAGTGTCACCAATTCTATGATTAACACATCAACAAGGGAACAGCAACCAGTCAGTGTCACCAATACTATGATTAACACAGCAACAATGAAACAACACCCAGCCAGTGTCCCCAATGATATGATTAACACATCAACAATGGAACAGCAACCAGCCATGGTCGCCAATGATATGGTTAACACATCAACAATGGCGCAGCAACCAGCCAGTGTCACCAATGATATGATTAACTTGTCAACAATGGAACAACAACCAGTCAGTGCCACCAATGATATGGTTAACACATCAACAATGGCGCAGCAACCAGCCAGTGTCACCAATGATATGGTTAACACGTCAACAATGGAACAACAACCAGTCAGTGTCACCAATCCTATGGTTAACACATCAACAATGGAACAACACCCAGCCAGTGTCACCAATGATATGGTTAACATGTCAACAATGGAACAACAACCAGCCAGTGTCACCAATACTATGGTTAACACGTCAATAATGGAACAGCAACCAGTCAGTGTCACCAATGCTATGATTAACCCATCAACAATGGAACAACAACCAGCCAGTGTCACCAATTCTATGATTAACACATCAACAAGGGAACAGCAACCAGCCAGTGTCACCAATACTATGGTTAACACGTCAATAATGGAACAGCAACCAGTCAGTGTCACCAATGATATGGGTAACACATCAACAATGGAACAGCAACCAGTCAGTGGCACCAATGCTATGGTTAACACATCAACAATGGAACAACACCCAGCCAGTGTCACCAATGATATGATTAACTTGTCAACAATGGAACAACAACCAGTCAGTGCCACCAATGATATGGTTAACACATCAACAATGGAACAGCAACCAGTCAGTATCACCAATGCTATGATTAACCCGTCAACTTAACACATAAACAATGGAACAGCAACCAGTCAGTGTCACCAATGATATGGTTAACTTGTCAACAATGGAACAACAACCAGTCAGTGCCACCAATGATATGGTTAACACATCAACAATGGAACAACACCCAGTCAGTGTCACCAATGATATGGTTCACACATCAACAATGGAACGGCAACCAGCCAGTGTCACCAATGCTATGGTTAACACATCAACAATGGAACAGCAACCAGTCAGTGGCACCAATGCTATGGTTAACACATCAACAATAGCAACCAGCCAGTGTCACCAATGATATGGTTAACATGTCAACAATGGAACAACAACCAGCCAGTGTCACCAATGATATGGTTAACATGTCAACAATGGAACAACAACCAGCCAGTGTCACCAATACTATGATTAACACATCACCAATGGAACAGCAACCAGCCAGTGTCACCAATACTATGATTAACACATCAACAATGGAGCAGCAACCAGCCAGTGTCACCAATGCTATGGTTAACACGTCAACCATGGAACAGCAACCAGTCAGTGTCACCAATGATATGATTAACACATCAACAATGGAACAACACCCAGTCAGTGTCACCAATGATATGGTTAACACATCAACAATGGAACAACAACCAGTCAGTGTCACCAATGTTATGATTAACTTGTCAACAATGGATGTATTCAATTCAATTCAATTCAAATTAGTTTATTATAGTGTCACATGTAAAAGGTTCAAGTATTACAATATCTAAAATATGTCTACTCACCCACCCTTACATCCAGTCTATATTAGACTTACGAGACACTCACCCACCCTTACATCCAGTCTATATTAGACTTACGAGACACTCACCCACCCTTACATCCAGTCTATATTAGACTTACGAGACACTCACCCACCCTTACATCCAGTCTATATTAGACTTACGAGACACTCACCCACCCTTACATCCAGTCTATATTAGACTTACGAGACACTCACCCACCCTTACATCCAGTCTATATTAGACTTACGAGACACTCACCCACCCTTACATCCAGTCTATATTAGACTTACGAGACACTCACCCACCCTTACATCCAGTCTATATTAGACTTACGAGACACTCACCCACCCTTACATCCAGTCTATATTAGACTTACGAGACACTCACCCACCCTTACATCCAGTCTATATTAGACTTACGAGACACTCACCCACCCTTACATCCAGTCTATATTAGACTTACGAGACACTCACCCACCCTTACATCCAGTCTATATTAGACTTACGAGACACTCACCCACCCTTACATCCAGTCTATATTAGACTTACGAGACACTCACTCTTCCCCTATCATTCTAGACTGTAAAAGTATTACATATATATATACATACTTATGAATTAAAAACAATTTGCCAATATAAAACTATAAAAATAATTGACATTAAAAGACACATTACTGCTTTACTCATATTGTAAAAATCATTTGTGATTTTACTAGCCTCCTGCAATAGACCTGAACGAAGATCATCATACATTATTAAGTTACATTCTATTAAAACATGACTCTCTGTTTCTACCACGCTTTTACATGCGAAACACTTTCTTTCATTCAAAGGTATTCTCTCATACTGGCTGGTTTCGATGCGTATCGGTGCAACCCCACACCTAAACATAGCTAGCGCACTACGATGTGATTTAGGCATTACTAACATATTATAACTTTCTACCTCATAATTAAACTTAAATAATCTGTTACCTCCAGTAATACAATTTTTGGCTACGGGTTAAGTTCCCTTTCCCTCTTCCAATAAACAATTTCAAGCCACGGACCTTAGCGTCCTTAAGATTTTTTTACTATTAATTGGACCTTTGCTATAGTTATCCAAGCCTAGCTCCGTGAGTCTGGAAATTACCCTGAAGTTTCAATTTTATTACGGTGGTTATCTATATGCTCACTCCATGTAAATACAGCCTTATTCAATCTGTTATCCGACATATTATGAAGACGACTTCAATGTCTAAAAACAGCTTGCCATTGCATTGGTTCACTATAACTGGAGTCCAACCCATGTCCCCGTTAACAGCTACGTTAGGTGCATAGCGACCAAGGCCTAGATAAAATCTACATGCGCGATTTTGAAAAGCCACAATAAAACTAAATGTACGTGTACCCCATATAGCAGCACCGTAACTAATTACTGGCCACACTGAACTCTCATACAGTTTTGTGAAGGTTTTATATGGCAAGCCTCCCATTGATTTAGATTTAGCTATTAACAAACCAACTGCTCTACCCGCTGATTTGGCCACGAGTTTTGCCGTTACATTAAAATCCAAATGCTCTGTAAATGTAAGACCCATTGTAACATGTGTAAAAATAATGTCACAATTATCAACTAATTTAGCATGCCAGAGGTATGGTCCTATATCACAGTTCAGTTTGCGTTGGCAGGTTTGGTTCTATGTTAGTGACAATACAGACTATATATGTCCACAACACTGAATTCAGTTGACCTTGCAATTACAATTTGGGATGATTCATGCCAAATATGTGACATTCAAAACAGGGATTTCATAATAGCACGGTGTGGAAAATAGTTGTTACATAATAAAAATTAACATAAAAATAGTATGTGACCAAGTGACAATGTGTTAATATTTTCAACCATATACATTGAGTAACGGAATATTATTATTATTATTATATAGTATAGAAATTGTGCAGTCTGGTACTGAATGAAGCACCTGATTCGGTTAAGGGGGTCTAGAAGCAGATATGCTTTATTACTACAGACAGATGACAGGTAAAACAAACTAGATCAGAATCTCTCTACCTCTAATTAAGAAGACCTAAGTAGTCTTTTGATTAGCTAGTTAACCCTTATTTCTCATATTGGGCACAGCACAGCCCTTCTGGCCTTAAATGTACCTGAGTGCCTGTCCATCTATACCGGTTAGGAGAAGACTTATATATAGGCTGATTAAGCCTGTTGTCTCATCCAATTGTTCATTTTTTTTTGTCCAATAAAATTTGTTGAAATCTAGAAATCTGGCTAGCTACTTGCATTTGACAATACACATGTGAGCGCGGCGCCCAAGCGAGGAATCCACTACGTATATACTTACACACTAAACAATAGGAGATTAATCCTCCGGGGATCCATTGTCTATATCTTAATAGGGTCTCCAGTCAGGTCAGTGGTCAAGGCTCACCATACTGACTCTACCTAATCTTCATGGTGTGGTGATCACCCTGTCAGTTGGGAGAGGACTATATACCAAGTATTTGAATTAGGTATATAGGTAAAGTGTTATTTCAAAGGTAGAGTCTATTTCATGATATATCAATATACCTGTATTTTCACCTGTGGTTTCAAGTACACATGGTCACCAGGAGTGATTTATCATACCAATGAAAAATATAAATTACAAATATTTCAGAGACAATGAAGCACCCTCCTTAGCATCACTTTATCAGGTGAATAATAACCAATGTTGGCATCAAAGCCTGGCGTGTACATCCTTTTCATTAGGTATTGCCCTTGTACATATGTATGCATACTATACACAATAAAAGACAAACAGTTAAATCATAATTCATATTTATGACAAAACAAATCAATATCTAATTGCCAAAATGCTGGCCTAAAACTAGATGCACACGCATTATCAGGTGAATCTACAGAAAAGCTCCCCCCCCCCCCCCCCCCCCCCCCATAAACTTTGACAAGTGACCATTTAAAGGGCCTGACACAAACATCAACATTTCAACCAAAAACCTACATTTTAACCAATTACAGAATTTTAACACTCGCTCCGCTCAGGCCATCATGAAATATAAATACTCTGCGTTATAAAATATATCCTTGAATAATACTACAAGCTTAGAAAACTATTCTACGCCTCACTCAATCTGTTTGTCAATGGAAATAATGTCCAATAAATTCTTGCTTTCTACGCTCGGTAGAGCATGAAATAGTTTGAATTACATCTTCAGAAATTTGTTTTTGTCTGTAACTCCGCTAGGCGGAGAAATTATAAATGTCCAAATCTCAGAAAAGGGAAGTTCAATATATTTTTTGGTGGCAGAAAGTAGTATACATGTACAACCGACATGACAATTCTAAATTATTGTTTCTAGATAAGGGCAAAAGGGTCCCCCCCCCCCCCCCCCCCCCACCTGCAAAATATATGTTATATATATGTGTGTGTATAGTAAACCTTTGAAATTTAACTAACAAAGTAGTGTTACAAGTCAAGATCATGATCACTGTCGTGACTCATTTACACTAAAACCATACTTTTTATTGATCAATATTACAATTGCAGGAAATTAAAAATCAACTTTCCTTAAGAATTTTAAGACTGTGTGATTGGGTCCGAATCCAACTGTATACCGAAAATCCTTAATCATGGTCATCGGTGCAGGGCAGTTGATAAAATTTTATTTTCCATGTTTCAGTACGTATACATACATGTATACTAGTACCACAGAATTAGATTTTAGATGTTATCTAAGTCTGTGCTAGTACTGTAGCTTGAATTCCATACAATGCAGTGTTCATCGGATCACTAATTATCTCTACATTTTGTCTAGACAGCTCTCTGCTCTTTCCGTATGTGCGTGTATACATGTTTATCGTGTAGTAGATATTACTGCAGATTATATAATGTACCACAGTTTAGTTATCAGTTAACTGATATATATCATCTATTTTCACAATAATAACTAGTGTTATATTTTATTCACAAGTATTAGTTTTGTTCACCGTTATACATTTGATCTCTTTCTTATATCATACCTACATAAAAACTCAAACGACCTGATTATCTTACAATAGTTTCCTGTGGTATGCAATGATCACACGGAACAAAGATGAGATAATCAAATAATTGGCAGCAACAAATATCAAAGTTCCATATTTGATCCAAAAATTAAAGACAAAACGTCACAATTATAAGAAAAAGCAATGCACACATTTTAAGAATAACAGCATATTAAGCTTGATTTACCTTCAATACACACAAAGAACATGTGCAGCCAGTTTAACGCTCCATCTGTAACTGATCAACCATGAATCAAGGAAGCGCCGGAGTCCATACCCGCCATATTTATTTTCACCGGAAGTTAATATGCTAGACAGGGACCGTCTCGGAATACAATTCAAGATACGAATATATCGATATCAATTGTTATTTTGATCACGTTTCCCTGAAATGGGTTCAGACTTATAATGTAAAGATACTTAACGTTTTTTTGTACAAAAGTGAAATTTTGTTTTTGCATAATAACGGATATTCGTATTCAACCTCTCCGGTCCGGACTTGACTTTCAGTCTCCAAATCTAGTTTACAATCGACGTGTGATGGCGGTAAGTGTGAAGTCGGCGATACAAACAAGCTGATGCAAAGACATTCTCCAGCTTCTGGTTTAGGTAAAGACACGTTCTTGTGTATTTTTTGTACATGTATGGTGCAAAGGCGACCTGCAGATTAGGCCTATCACAGAAGTCTGAAGTTTTGTTAGGAAATGAAAAGCAAACACAATCACCAACCACAGGGGCTCGGTTTCGAGTAATTCCTGTAGGAACTCTATCTAAATCAGAGATTTATAACGATAGAGTTCTCTATCGTTATAAATCTCTGATTTAGATTGAGTTCCTACAGGAATTATGTTTCGGGATACTTTCGGTTAATAATAAACCTAAAAAAGTACCTTGATATCCTCAATTTTATAAGGTTTTAGAATAAACACGGGATAATATGACTCGGGCATGGCCTGGAGAGAGCGAAGCTCGTACTGTACATTTGTTTCAATAGTCTAATTATTGAATCATAACATTACCCATTTTAATACATTCAAAATGTACCTGTACTTATAATATACTTGAATATGTTGCTGGGCAAAATCATTCATCCTTGTACTTATTGGTGCTCTGTTTTAGAATGATCCACATCAGTCGCACTACACTAATTTGACGCATCACATGTAATCATCATTTGGTTCTTGTTTTATCCAAGAATGCCAGTATGTTCATAATAATATGTATTATTATTTTTATCCAAAAGAAACAAATGCCATTTGAAAAAAACACAGAGTAAACATGATAATCATAATGTGAGTTGTAGCACGGAATTAGATTAGATCTGTTATCTAAGTCCGTGGTTGTAGGCAGAATGTTTAAACAAATGGTTTGAGCTGATATGCCAATTCATGAAGGATGTATCTGTTTTTAATTTAAATATATTAAGCAGGTTAGAGACTGTCAGTTACGTTTCCAATCAAAATTAAAAACTATTCTGCATATGATGTACCTGGTGATGGCAATTATTTTTATTCAACCACATTTAAAACCAATATTGACTCAAGAACAACAAGTCCATAATGAAACTGACATCAATGCCATCAACACAATCATCACTCAACACAACACACAATCTTTGACCCTCAAATTTGACAATGACATAATAAGGGTATCAATCATTGAATCAAACATCGAGAAACATGGTCAAAATCGTACACAAAAAATCACAAAGTATGATTACACAAAGTTATACGATGGTGTCCATCCAGAAACTTCACTTGCAAACAAATGTTTTTGGCTGATATATGCCAATCTATCTCTAGGTATCTACAAAAACTTTATGACAACAGCGACAATGAAGAGGAGGAATCTCCTGCTGTAGATACCTGGAAATTTTAACGTATATAATCAGTACAAACATTAAATTTCATCATTTCACATGGATTATCTGAATTATTTAAAAAAATAATCTAAAATCTTCATTTTGTACTTATATTGGGAGACGTGACTGTACGTTGCTGACAGTCGCATACTATGCAATCTGTTAACAAAAATAAAAGTGGTGAAAATATAATGTTTCTAATTCCCTTCTTTACTGATATTCATAAAGCATAGCAAACTAATGTGTTCACTTCAATGTCTAATCAAAATGCTGTAATAATTTTTACAGTTGAACGGAAGTACAATTAAATTTTCAAGTGTTTAAAGTTTATATTTATCTAAGTATCAATAAAGACATTTACTGTGCAAAACTGTACAGATAATGTTTGTCTTTTTTAACTGATTGTTAATTTGGTTGCATTAGATGAAACTAGATTCAACATATTGTACAAGCAGATCAAGCATTGAAATTCCACAGTTTTAGTTGTAAAATCTAAAAGGAATATCACAAATTTGGATCAAATAAAATATCAACAGAAACGATCCCCAAATGGAAGAATTTAGAAGAACTGAAAATAAGTTGACGTTATACAATAAATGCAGAAAAAACAAGAGTAGTAATACTGAAAAATTGGGAATTTGACCCTTTGAAACACCTTACGTTTTCTCTTAGAAAGCTGTTGGTGACAATTCTGTTTCACTGGAGCAGACAACCCCGGAACTTTGACCTCGTCATTGACCCTGCTTCGTACACACTCGGGTATTTCCGTCCTAGTGGGAATGTGTTGCGATCTATTATCAATATTTAGATAGAAAATGTGTATGTTTAGAAAGTTGTCAGTATCAAATTATCTATTTCAGCTAATTTAATCGACGTTAATACAGTTTGTCATCTAATCACATTCTTACGCACTCTTCGACGCCATTAGGTTGGGTATTCATGTAAGCTTTTTAATGACCATGCCAATCATTTCTCTTTTCGATACAAAAGGAAAGAAATCGTGGAAATAAACACGCCCAGTGTATTGAATATGGTCAATATGTTTTTTTAAAACTTGTTGGTTCGAATACATAATTTTCCTGCTATGTTACATGTCGCTTTATTATTCGATTAGGCATATTTACGGGTTCCATGAACCAGAAGAGGTCACCAGAAGTACGAAAAGTTTCTAGGCTGTAGCTGTACGATTTATGGAAGTTTGGATCAGATTTATTTACACGCACATGTTACCGGTAAAGAGCTCCGCTCGGGTGCCTATGGCACCCGAGAGCTCCGCTCTTATAAAGTGTTGCTGTTATTTACTGGTGTGTAAGCTTATAGGTTTATTTTTTACCAAAACCTAGCCCGAAGTTCCTCTGGCCCTAACATCAGGTCCAGTACACTCTGCCTATTGAGCTATATAGCATTCGTGTATCCGGTTGAAACGATTGAACCTGTAAAGAAATCGACAGGTACAGATGTGAACCAAGGCTAACCTCAGGAAAATTTGGCACGTGTAGATTGAGGGGTCCATGCAGATCTAGACATACCTGGCCGAAACTAAAATGCTGACTATTGCCAGTTTGCGTTATTTCTTTCTTAAACAAAATAAAGCCACATGTAGTTTTTATACGTTATTCAGTGGACGCGTGAGAGTAGGGCATAATATTCTTGATACATCATTTTTTTATTCTCCGAAACTGTGCATTTTTAGCTCTGCTTATAGATCGGTCCAAGTGTTTGTTTATCGTGGAAAATTTCTGCGCCACACATACCGTTTCAACCGGGATACGCAAATGTAGCCCTATAATAGCTCTATTGACCTATCTGAGGTCTTTTGAGCCATTTTCATGTGATTTTCTTTTTTAAGGAAAACGAAACAAAGTCACTTTTAGAAGAAGATTTTATCATTAGAAACAAAAGACATTAAATATGAGTATTCTTTTTAAAAAATAATGATCAGAAAAATCGGATATTTTACATTTATGAAAAATGAAAATAAACATCTAAATGTATGCTTTTTGTAGTCAACATTACCATAAACCTTATTGTTTTATGCAACTTTGCTTTACTTTATTGAAAATTAAAATCTTAGGAGATATAGCTCAATACAGCTATAATTTATAGGTATAAATACAGCTATATAGGTGTTTAAAGCTATATATATAGCTCAATCGGCAGAGTGTACTGGACCTGAACATGTACACCAGACTTAGACATTTTGAGATCTATATAGATGTCTAGTGTGGGGCCAGAGCGTACTGCTAAATATAAACGTGGAATTCTCCAGAAATCTTCTTAACAGGAATAAAATGTTACGTTTTTGGTCCGGATCAGTACGGTTTGTTGATAAGTCATCCCATGATTTACAAAAATGGGGATCGCTCGGGTGGGAATTTTTCAATGATTGAAAATCGAGAACTCTTCTTTCTTTCTGACGGAATTAAGCAGCTATTGGTGATAATAAGATCAGAGCTGATTTGGATCAATAAATATTCCATTTATCGATATATGTGAGGTGACTTATAGTGTTGTGTCAAGACTCAAAGTAGATTAATGTTGTCAGCACCTCATAATATACCTGGTAACTCTCCGATACCAAACGGTGTCGGGAGAATTCCTTGTTTTCATATAGCAGTGCGCTCTGGCCCCACACCAGATATCTATATGTCAAAATGTCTAAGTCTGGTGTCAAGGCCAGAGGAAATTTGGGCTTACCCGAAACCGGGCCCCTGTACGCTAACCTGCAGGCGTATTTTGATATGTAATACTAACCTAACCTCTTACTTACAAAGTAAATACTGATAAAAAAATTACTTACTCTCATGTAAAAATCTACTAGTGTCTTCTTTTGACTCGTGAATATCAATGTTGATCAAACTAATTACTATGAACTGCATTCAAGGATACAGGTAACAGGTAAGTGAAACCATACTTCGTGAAAATGCAACTGTTTTAAGCCTTCCTCCAGTCAAGGGGTGTCCTCCAGTCCAGGGATGTCCTCCAGTCCAGGGGTGTCCTCCCCTCCAGGGGTGTCCTCCAGTCCAGGGGTGTCCTCCAGTCCAGGGGTGTCCCCCAGTCAAGGGGTGTCCTCCAGTCCAGGGGTGTCCTCCAGTCCAGGGGTGTCCCCGAGTCAAGGGGTGTCCTCCAGTCCAGGGGTGTCCTCCAGTCCAGGGGTGTCCTCCAGTCCAGGGGTGTCCTCCAGTCAAGGGGTGTCCTCCAGTCCAGGGGTGTCCTCCAGTCAAGGGGTGTCCTCCAGTCCAGGGGTGTCCTCCAGTCAAGGGGTGTCCCCCAGTCCAGGGGTGTCCCCCAGTCCAGGGGTGTCCTCCAGTCCAGGGGTGTCCTCCAGTCCAGGGGTATCCTCCAGTCCAGGGGTGTCCTCCAGTCAAGTGGTGTCCTCCAGTCCAGGGGTGTCCTCCAGTCCAGGGGTATCCTCCAGTCCAGGGGTGTCCTCCAGTCAAGGAGTGTCCTCCAGTCCAGGGGTGTCCTCCAGTCCAGGGGGGTCCTCCAGTCAAGGGGTGTCCTCCAGTCCAGGGATGTCCTCCAGTCCAGGGGTGTCCCCCAGTCAAGGGGTGTCCTCCAGTCCAGGGGTGTCCCCCAGTCAAGGGGTGTCCTCCAGTCCAGGGGTGTCCTACAGTCCAGGGATGTCCTCCAGTCCAGGGGTGTCCCCCAGTCAAGGGGTGTCCTCCAGTCAAGGGGTGTCCCCCAGTCCAGTGGTGTCCCCCAGTCCAGGGGTGTCCTCCAGTCCAGGGGGGTCCTCCAGTCAAGGGGTGTCCTCCTGTCCAGGGGTGTCCTCCAGTCCAGGGGTGTCCTCCAGTCCAGGGGTATCCTCCAGTCCAGGGGTGTCCTCCAGTCAAGTGGTGTCCTCCAGTCCAGGGGTGTCCTCCAGTCAAGGGGTGTCCTCCAGTCAAGGGGTGTACAACTTCACTAGTCTGATACAAGAGTATATTAAATTTTAGGTTAGGTTGAGTGAAAATTTTCAATATTTACTTTTTAAAATTTACATTAAACTAGTAGTTTGTGTACTACTAGAAGAAACTTTTCAAAATCAACCTTCGTGCTCGTATTCTAAACACTCCAGTGAATCATTTTCTGCGATGGCAGAGACAATACCATTTAATTGGGTGATCATGTAAAATTATATATTAATTAGCACTTGATGATTGCTGTATAATCTATTTCAGGTTATAATTTGTAGCCATGATGTCAACATGCTCCAATACGACAGCAAGCAGTTCGTATACCTGCTCAACACTAGTGGAGAGGGAGGAACAAATGTTTGAGTATGAAACACAGCACTTGGGCTTCACTCCCAAAGCTTTCTGTAATGGAGGTACAGTGTATTAGTATATTGTCCGGGGTTTTGCCAGGTGTTTAAAGGCTCCGGTACAGGGACCTTTTCGCAATTGAAAAATGACCCTGCATTTCCCAATTTCAGTCTTTATTTTCCCAATTGGATTAAAAAATCATGTTTATACAAGTTTCCAGTCATTATATGTGTAACATATGCATTCAAAGTATAACTGTAAATTACCATCCATGAGGGAGCATACGAAATACATACCGGTAAATATATCGGAAATTTGGAATTGAATAATGAAAAACATTGAAAAATTATGTGTTTATTTATTGCTATACATTTTATTAAGAAACAGAGAGAAAACTTTTTGCTTATCACATTGTAGGTGTTATATTTTCCCAAACCTGTACACGTGGGAACACTGATGATATTTCCCATTTTTTTGCCAAATGACGCTGATATTTTACCAATTCCAGCTCAAGGGCCCTTTCCCAAAATAGCTGGCAAAACCCCTGATTTTTAGCTCACCTGGCCCGGCGTCAACTTTTTACTTTAAACAACTTTTTCTCAGTAACTAAAAAGCCTAGGGTGATGATATTTGGCCAGAAGCATGCTGGGATGAAGGGCTAGCGAGTTTGTTCAAATAAATGACCTTCATCAATTTTCAAGGACACGGGTCAAATATGTTAAAATCTTTAAACAACTTCTTCTAAATAACCGAGAGGTCTAGGGTGATGATATTTAGCCAGTAACATGCTGGGGTGCACGTGAAAGGCTACAAAGTTTGTTCAAATAAATGACCTTGACTTATATTCAAGGTCACAGGGGTCAAATATGTTTAAAACCTTTAAACAACTTCTTCTGAATAACCGAGAAGCGTAGGGTGATGATATTTGGCCAGTAACATGGTGAAATAAAGGGCTACCAATTTTGTTCAAATAAATTACCTTGATTTATATTCAAGGTGACAGGAATCAAATATGTTTAAAACCTTTAAACAACTTCTTCTGAATAACTGAGAGACCTAGGGTGATGATATTTGGCCAGTAACATGCTGGGATAAAGGGCCACCAAGTTTGTTCAAACAAATGACCTTCATCCATTTTTCAACGTCACAGGGGTCAAATATGTTTAAAATCTTTAAACAACTTCTTCTGAATAACCGAGAGGCATAGGATAATGATATTTGGCCAGAAGCATGCTGGGATGAAGGGCTACCAAGTTTGTTCAAATGAATGACCTTGAAACATATTCAAGGTCACTGGGGTCAAATATGTTGAAAACATTTAAATAACTTCTTCTGAATAACCAAGAGGCCTAGGATGATGACATTTGACCATTAACATGCTGGGATGAAGGGTTACCAAGTTTGTTCAAATAAATAACTTTCGTCCGTATTCGTGGTCAATATATGTTTAAATCTTTAAATGATTTGTTCTGTATAACCAAAATGTCCAGGGTAATGATATTTTGCTAGAAGCATGCTGGGTTGGAAGACAAGGTCACGAGTGTCACATGTTTAAAATATTTTAATAGGTTCTTATTAATCAAACACTGATATTCTGCCTGTAGTTGTATTTTAGTCCACTTTTAAGATAACAAGTGTGAAATTAATACCAGGTGAGCGATTCAGGCCCTTTAGGCCTCTTGTTTATAATATGGAATTTCTTTGACCTATGGAACTTTTCGGTGAAGCCACATGTTCACACTGAAACAGTTACTTCACTGGCATGGTATTTGACCAGATCTGAATAGGTACTGTAGCTAGGATGGAGGGCTATTCAAGTTAATGGCATTGACTTTCACCAAAGGTCAAATGGGTCAAGTCTGTTAAAATGTTGAAATAATTTATTTGATAGAATTATAAACCTGATGGTAATAGTAAATCTGAAAGCGGTTAATAAGATACAAGCCTAATAAAAATGTATTATTGTTAAGTACTAGGATACAAGGCTAATACCAATGTATTATTGTTACTAGGATACAAAGCTAATACCAATGTATAATTGTTACTAGGATACAAGGCTAAGACCAATGTATTATTGTTACTAGGATACAAGGCTAAGACTAATGTATTATTGCTCAGCAAGTCAAATTCAGTATAAAGTGAAATTTACAAAAATCAAATATGTACTATAATATTGTTGTTTACATTTTAGTAATTTGTATACATGGGACGATTATAAGTACATTAATATGTATTGTTTTGCAATAATGATCAAAATTGAGTTTTCATAGTACATGTATTAATTTATAGTTAGAACAGTATTATAATAAAAAAAAATACTTTTATTCTTCAGTATACAACGCAGCACTGGAATACATCCAAAAAGCTATACAAGAAATAGAAACATATTTGTCAGAAGAGGTAAGTTCTGGAGACAATCCTCCTGTCTTTTGGCCAGTAGCATGCTGGGATGAAGGGCTTTCAAGTAGGTTCAAATTAATGACCTTGACCAACTTTCAATGCCTGGGCCAAGTACTAGTGAGCTTATCCCATGGTGCGACGTCTGTCATCCATTCGTCTGGCATCAACTTTTTTAGCTCACCTGGTCTGAAGGACGGACCATGGTGAGCTTATGCCATACCGCAGCGTCCGTAGTCCGTACGTCCGTCAACTTTTCCTTTAAAACGCTACTAGCCATGAACGACTAGGCAGATTTTGACCAAATTTGGTCAGAAGCATCCTTGGGGGAAGGGGAACAAATTTTGTATAAATGGTGGGTCTGCCCCCCTCCCTCTCCCTCCCCCTGGTGAGGGGCGGTGCCCAATAGGGGAAATATAACAAATTCTTTAAAATCCTTCTCCTTCTGTAGGAATAAAAGGATTTGTTCCATATTTGGTAAGAAGCATCCTTGGGGTAAGGGGAACCAATTTTGTATAAACCGTGGGTCTGGCCCTCCAGGGGCCTGAGGGGCGGGGCCCAATAGGGGAAACATAGCAAATTATTCTTTAAAATCCTTCTTCTTCTGTAGGATTGAAAGGATTTGTTTCATATTTGGTCTGAAGCATCCTTGGGTGAAGGGGAACCAATTTTATATAAACGGTATGTCTGACCCCCCTGGAGGCAGAGATGCAGGGCCCAATAGGGGAAATAGAGTTAAAACCTTTAAAATCCTTCTTCTACCATAGGGATTCAAGGATTTAACCTAATTTAGTCTGGAGCATCCTTGGGCCAAGAGGACTCAATTTTGTATAAGCAGTGGGTGTGGTCTCCCAGGGGTCTGAAGGGTGGGGGCCCAATAGGAGAAATAAAGGTAAAACCTTTAAAATCCTTCTTCGACCATCAGGATTAAAAGATTTTATCCTTATTTAGTCTGGAGCATCCTTGGGTCAAGGGGACTCAATTTTGTATAATTGGTGGGTATGACCCTGCTAGGGGCATAGGGTCGGGGCTCTGTTTGAAGTTTGTTCTCGCTATATCTCAAGTACTGGATGGGTTTTTCTGAATTTTCATATGTACTTACAGCACCTACCATGGAGTGCTATATCTTTACTTCATACCAATTATTTTAAACATATTCAGGTGAGCGATACAGGCCCTCTGGGCCTCTTGTACTTTAAACAACTTCTTCTGAAAAACCAAGGGGCTTAGGGTGATGCTATTTGGCCAGCAGCATACTGGCATCAGATGAAGGGCTACCAAGATTGTTCAAATGAATGACCTTTGCCCATCTTTTATGTTTTAGTATAGTACTGTGATGAAACCTGCACAAATCAAAGAGGCTTGTGATGCGATCCTCTCCACCATGGTCAGCAAGTTGGACAAAAACTTTGACATCATAGAGGTAAACTAAAGTTTCTGTTTTCTTATAGTATGTATATTTAACAGGTAAAATAAAGTTAAGGGAAAATAACATACTGAAATATGTTTGTTTAACAAATTTCATTACCTAAACTCATACATATTGTACATAAAAGTCATTCTTTGATGGATGTTTTGTGGTATGGCCTAGTCTATGTAGCTAACTGGGCACCAGCATTTTTTCTAGAGCATAAGTAACTTGCTGTTAACTCATTCACCCCTGAAGACACATTTGAACCCTTCCAATTCAAAGGTTGGAATAGTTCATTGTGAAACTTCAGGGGTTGATGAGTTAAACTACTGACATCAAATTTTCTTTCCTTAAGTGATGTTTTGAGGGCCAAATGTCACATGCTGAAATCCTATTCTATCATCCACACTTTACAATGATTCTACATGTGGGCAGTGTTCGTGTCTGTCCATGAAGTTTATTTCTTATAAACCATTCCAATGTTATACTGCCAGACCTATCTGACAAAGAACGTGCTGACCATACCAGACAATGTATTACTCCCGGAGGACAAGGCCCAGGCAGGGGGAGAGAGGTACTCTCCAGAACAGGAGGATGTCCTTGACACCGAGATACAGGAGCTGAAGGATAAAATTCTGGCAGTAGGTATCAGCACTACTGTAAAAGCATAATATTTCGTTGGAGATTTCATTTCGTTTGTTTCCCGGTTTTATAAAAACCACGAAATATAATCCCAACGAAATTTTAAACACACGTAATATAAACTAAACGAAAATAGGATATAAAGTATTAATTTAACTACAAATTCATGTTGTTTTTACATTTAGAGACAAGTCATGATTAACTGTGTAAGTATCGTCACAGGCACAGAGGTAAACACTTATAACAACAGCGTGTCAATTAAGTGTTATATTTGTATTTGTAACACAGTTACATCGCTCTCTGTATGTAAAATACAGAGCATGACAGTAAAACAGTATAAGTCTTGTGATTGTAACACCAATCTAATGATTATGTAGGTGTTAGTATAAGTCTTGTGATTGTAACACCAATCTAATGACTATGTAAGTGTTAGTATAAGTCTTGTGATTGTAACACCAATCTAATGACTATGTAGGTGTTAGTATAAGTCTTGTGATTGTAACACCAATCTAATGACTATGTA